TGGGCCCGCGGGAACGCCCCGCCGGGCAGGTCGCGGGCTGCGGGGCCTGTGATTTTTCCCCAGTTAAGCCCTGAGCGCCTGTCTCCTCTGTACCTAAGCCTCGCCCAGGCTAAGAAGTTCAGCGCTCCGAAGTCTCGTCAGTCTGGCACGACCAGGGAGTTAATCGGGGCCCAGCCCTGTGGCGCTCGATACCCAAGAGCAGGGCCACACATAACCATTCGGGGACAACCAGCGATGCCTGTTTTTTTATACAACAGGCTACCTCTGAGACCTGGTGCCCAGGAAACAAAGGACGTGGACTCGGCGCCCTCCTCAGCTCGAGGGGTTTTAAACCCCCAGTTTGGGTTACCACGGTGTTCGCCCCTCTCCCAGCTGAAAAGCGCGCTGGGCGGCCCAGAACACCCCTTCGGAGGCAGAGGCCAAGGCCAAGAAGTACTTTCGCTTTTTGTATTCACGCAAGGCGCCCCAACTTCCTCCTCTAGTAACAAGTGTCGCCTACAGTGGAGTCCCCCCAAAGCCTCATGCAGTGCTCCCTGCCGCTGTGGGGTGACTGGCCAGCCTTCACAGGACGAGCACCCCTGAAGATTCAAAGACGAGGGACGGCAAGTGCCAGCTCTGCTCTCGCCAGGGGATGGGCTCTTCTCACAGCTGCATCTTTTAACAGTGGGCTAAGGCCAGGCCCTTCCTCCCTTCTCACCTTACCCACCCCACATCCCGTCTGCACAAGTACCCAGAGAGTGTTGTGATTCTCTTCTTGTTAAGTGCTTGGGTAAACGGAAACAGGGCAGTATCTGAATTCTGAAAATGTTGCATCTTGGCAAAACTGTTAATTTAAGGAGGGGGAACCGTTTATTCTTTAAAAATGACTCACTGTAAATTTTCAATGAGTGCGGGGGCAGTAAGGGGAATTTTTCAAGGATCTAAGCACGTACAGGCCATTTGCTTTCTCAAAGGCCAAAGCTGACTGGCCTTTAGTTTTGTATAATCTGCTTCTACTTATTTTCCATGTGCATCTTGGTGCATGCTCACGTTCACAATGCTGTCTGTGGGTCTCCACTGAGGTTTCTCCAGCAGCCAGTGCACAAGGGTGCTTATCCTACTTGCAGTGTATTCGCTTTGTCAGAGCAAGTATTAACTAATTCAGAATAGTTATCTGTGTGTGTCCTAGCCAAATCAGTCTGGACTTACAATGCATGTGAGTCTGGATCCTGCAGCTCCAAAATTATTTCTGTTTTATTTTGGTCAGTATTTCTACCTTTCTGCAGAGCTAACATCAGACTGTGAACTTGCATCTTACACCAGGCTCGCTGGGGTAGAGAGGTGGCAAAAAAAAAAAGAAGATCCTTTCCACTCACTGTTTAAAAATGGAGAAAAGAATGTGGTGCCAGACTTAGTGCTGCATCCATTC